CATGCTTCAAGTGGATTAATCTGTCAGTGCATTAATGAGGACAGAACATCTTCTAACTAAAGAGTATATGTAGATATCAATATAACTCTTGTTGTTTTGTTCCCAGTGAACTCCTGGGAATTGGACATGCTCATGGACGCAGTTGTCCCAGGAGATCTGGGAAATACTGGAGACATTGCCTGGGTGATGACATCACTTCCTGTGTGTGCTAGAAGTGAGCCTTCGGGGAGGGCGGGATATAAATCCAAAGATAAATAAATAAAAAACTAAGAACGTAAGAAGAGGCATGCTGGATCAGACCAAAAGCCCATCAAGTCCAGCTTCTGTTCACAAAGTAGCCAACTACCTGCTTCTAGGAAGACCACAAACCAGATGACTGCAACAGCATCCTCCTGTTAGGGTTGCCAAGTCCCTCCTGGCAACTGGTGGGGGACGGGGGATTTACCAGGAGAGAGAGGAAGGCCCAGGTGACGTGGAGACATCACTTCCAGCATGCACAAAAAGTGATATCATCAAGCTGCAACATTTAGGTGATGCTCTGGTATTTGGGCCAAAACGCTGGTATTTGAGGGGGCTTCTACCATAGTGTTTTTGACGAAATACTGGAGCATCACCCAGACATTGCCTGGGTGATGACATCACTTCCTGTGTGTGCTAGAAGTGACATTACCACGTCATTGGCAATGTTGCCTGGGCCTTCCTCTCTCTCCTGTTAAGTACCCCCTCTGGCAGCTGATCAGTGGTGGTGGGGGCCTAGTGGCAGGGAACCCCCACCTCTACTGGGGAAGCTGGCAACCCGACGTCCCTCCCATGCTCCTCAGCAACTAATATAAAGAAGCATACTGCCGCTGGTTCTGGAGGGTGTAGATAATCCACCATAACCAGCAGCCGCTGATAGCCCGTCCTCCATGAACTTGTCCACTATCCTTTAACACCTTCCAAGTTGGTGGCCATCACCACATCTTGTGGCAGCAAATTCCACAGTTTAACTATGCGCAGTATGAAGAAGTACTTCCCTTGTCTGTCCTATATCTCCCACTCTTCAGCTTCATTAGATGACTCCTGTTTCTGGTATTATGGGAGAGGGAGAAAAGCTTTCCCCTGTCCACTCCACACTGTGCAAAATGTTACAGAACTCTATCATGTCTCCCCTTACTTGTCTTTTTTCTAAACTAAATGGCCCTGAGCGTTTTAACTGATACTCATGGGGCAACTGCTCAAGCTCCCTGATCACTTTGGTTGCTCTTTTGTGCATCTTTTCAAGCTCTTCACAGAGGTGTTGAACTCATTTGTTACGAGGCCCAGATCTGACATAAATGTCACTTTATCTGGCCAGGCCATGTGTGCCATAAAATGTAATGCTAGGTACTAGAGATATAAACTTTATAAAGAACACAGGCAAACCCAATTAATGTTATTTTAACTCATAATACAAACAAAAGCAATTGATTCCTAGCAGTGAAAGCAACTGATTTACTGGGGAACCTACAAAAGCTGCAGTAAATGAATTTAATCATATGCAAGATTAGCTTTTTCCTAGGGGTACCATAAAAGGGGGTATCTTACATTTCTGTACAAATTAGTTACTTTTTTATACATACAGCATTTTTAGGAGATAAGTCATCTTCCTTGCAAGTATATAAGGTAGTTTTACAGCATCCCCCCCATATGCCCAGACTCACTAGCTAAGCATGGCTACAATCCATCTCTCGCTCTTTGTTTCCTCTCTTCCCCTGACCTACCTCTGAGGATCTCAAGGAAGCACACCAGACTCTCCCCTCCACCACTCCATCCCCACCAACATAACAGGCTGACTGACTGGCCGCGGGTGACCTAGATGACAAGGTCTTAGCTCAGGAGGAGGGGGAAGTCTGAACCCGGCTCCCCAAGATCCCCCCCCCCATTTCCAGTTCTCATCCCTCCTGCGTTTCCCACAGGACTGATGAAGAAGTGGTTTCTGGAACCTCCAGGGGATGCTTTTTGTTCTCCTGCAGCCCCCTTTCCCTCATGGGATGAGAACAGGTGGGGAGGAGAAGGGACGTTGCCATCCTTCACCCATCCTGACACTCTGCCTCCTGGCTAGACATGTCAGCCCCCAGGTCCAGGTGGGAGATCCCCCGATTTCAGGGGCTTCTCCCTGTTGTGGATGAAGTGGTCAGTGGGGGAAACCCTGTCCCTAAACAGGGATGTTGCTGCAATAACATCACCTGGAAGTTACATCATTGTGTCAGCAATGTCTTGTGGGGACGCTCTGGTATTTGGGCAAACTCTATGGTTTGAGGGTGAAAAAACCATAGAGTTTCACCCAAATACCAGAGCATCCACAAAGTAATGACATAACTTCCAGGTGATGTCATTGCACCTACCCCCCAAAACACCCCCAAATCTGCCCGCTGGAATGATGAGGGGACCTGGCAACCCTGCTCCTGGCTCTGCAGTTGTTCAGACATGTGGCAGCAACAGCAGCGCCCCCTTTCCTCTTCTCTCCTCCACTTGCTTCTAAGGCTGGGGTTGCGGTCACATGTGCCAGAAAAAACGGGGGGAGGAAGCGAGGCTGTGTCCTACAGAGGAATTTGACCCGCAGTTGCACAATCACACCTCCCTTTGAAGCTGTGGGCGCAGTCCATCAGTGTGTGATCAGATGCAACTGCGGGTGAGTCGGGGTTTTTTTTGTGCCGTGTGTTTCCCATGCGCTTAAACGAGGGATCGATGAATCGCACCTCCACACTGAGGGCTTCCTGTGGAGTTTGCGATGATGCGCATACTGCAAAGGGGGAAAAAACAACAGTATGGATCCGGGATGGCCTCATCAGACCATCCCGATGCCATGAGAGTGTGCTGGAGCAATCAGACTCGAGAAAGTCCGTCGCGGCCCGTCGCAACCCAATTACTACCGGGTTTCCCTCGGTGTCTTTAACTCTGCTTCTGCGGTGGAGCAGAACGGGTTATCGACGGCTGTGGGACACTACCCAGATGTTGTTGTCTGATCACGCCCTTTAAATCTGCCCGGCATTCGCACCTATGTCGAGTCTAATTGTGCATATGATCACAGCCTGGGACATCTTTCCTCTCAAGAGTGGCATGTACAAGACAACCCAGTTGCCTTCCAATCCACGCACTGGTCCTTCTCCTCCTCCTCTCTCCCCTACCAGCCCCATCTGTTCATTGGCAAACCGCCGCTCCGCACACGCACTCTCACCAATCCTCCTCATGGTCTCTGTTTGAAAAACTGTGAAGCTGGTTGATGCAACAGTGGCAGTGCTGGCTGCTCAGCTCCATCCTCCCATGTAGTGGCTTTGCCAATCTTCACTGAGCTGCGGTCGGAGGAGGCGGGAGGGGAAATAAACAACATGCCTCTTCTTTTTCCACCTTAGCTGGCATTCCCCACACACTATTTTACCTCAGCCTCTTCGCTCCCCCCTAGCCATCTCCTTTCTATTTCTTGACAGCTTCGATCACAAACACCTCATCGTGTGTGCCTGCTGCCCCCCCCCCCAGCAGCCTTCCGCCTTCCCTCTCTCACACAAGATGCTCACAGGACAGATAAGAGCCCTGGATGGGCCGATTCCAGCCCACAAGCCGTATGTTCGATACCCCTGCTCTACAGCATCCTTTTTCAAGTGTGGAGTCTTTGGTGAGGGACTTTTATCAAAAGCCTTTTGGAAATCCAGATAAACAATGTCAACCAGTTTATAAGTTTGTTGGCACTTTCAAAGAACTCTAAAAAGGTTAGTGAGACTGGACTTATCTTTGCAGAAGCTATGTTGGTTTTCCATTATTTGCTAAGTTGCTCCTTGTAAGTGCAAGGTTAGGAGCTGCACTGACGGGAAAGTTTGATACTTGGCTTTAGCTACCTGCCAACTGTCATAGAATTGCCTCTTTAACCATAATGTGAGGACTGGTGGTGAGTGGGGGTGGGGGGGAGATGCGAGTAAAATAAATGAATGGCAGATGAAAAGTTTAATCTTTTGTTTTTAACCAGTTCACAAGGAACTGGAATTGAGGATCCCTTTACCTTCTGCAGCAGCAGGAGACTAGCCAAAGATGTTACTTCTTTTTTTTGTTCAAATATCAGTGCTATTATAATAAAATGGCCTACCTGGGGAAAAGATCAAGAGGTCCCCCATTTTTTGACAAGTGCCTAAATGTTGCTTTTAGGACATTCCAGCAGAACAGGACAGATTGGTATGCAATAGGTAATAGAAAGGCTGAACAAGATTTTTAGCCCTCTTAATCTGCAAACGTGGTTGCACTGAGTGTTCTCCTCTGTTTTCCGTTGAAATCCGGCTTTCTTGCGTGCCCTAATGCAAAATGGGAACTGTGGCTTTATGTGGGCAGTGGGCTCGCTGCCTCTCTGTGTGTGTCTAGTGGAGTAAATCTCTGGAGCCAGCATCCAGGGCAGGCTTTAAGTTGTTGTTGGCATTAACCTGAGTCTGATTAGGGTTGCTATATTCTGGGTAAAAATTAATAGTTTCCGCTTACAAATGTGCGATCTAGGTCCATGTTTACCTGGAGTTAATTCAACTGGCTTTATTCCCTGGTGATTGCACTGTACTTCGTGGTGATTGCACTGTACTTCGATTTAGAAAGGTGCAACTGATTGTTCTCCTGTAGTGTACATTTTATCTCCTGATTTCTTCCTGTACAACTTTGTTTGCTGGATTTCCTTTACAATCCTGACACTGACTATAAGCCCTATTGATTGGCACGATCCGCTTTTCTAGGCACGGGTTTGAGCATACTCTGCTCTGTCTCTTTAACGGAGCGCGTGCAAGAGGGAGTGGCCTGCTGTATATCTCTGTGCCGCTGGGAAAGGGATGAGGGGGGAGCGCGCGCGCACATGCACCGTGCGCACGCGTCTCTTTCCCACCCTACCCAGCTAGAATCCGCTGCTGCTGCCTCCCCGCGCTCCTCCCTTTTGCGCGCGCTGCTCGCCGCCGCCTCATTGGCCGGGTGGTGTCAGGTGACCCTGTGTTATTTCCTGTGTGTGTGAGGGGAGAATGGAGAGAGAAACCTCCGAGCCACCACCGCGGAGCCGCCCCCGTCCCGAAGCGGATCCCGGCTATCCTCCGCGCCACTGAAAGACCCCACCCGCTCCGCGCTCCCCTCTGGGGGGCGGGGAGAAGGAGAACGAGGCTTAGGTATGATTTCTGTAGGCTTGAGCCCCATCGCGGGCCCCGATGGAAGGGGCGGGGCGCAAATATGGAGGGGGGAGAAGGAGATGGGGTGCCAGGCGGCCCGTGGGCCGCTGCATCCGTGCCTCTCCGCTAGCCTGGTTGTAGTACTCATAATATAAATACACACCGCTGGATCGAGCGGAGTGGAAATGCCAAGGTTGGGTTGGAGTTAGGTCAGTCTTCAAGCTCAGATAATTATATTTTTTATTAATTCACAATCGCGTGTTTTAGAACCCTTTGGGCTCTCTATCATATTTTTATCTTTGAACTTCTTTTACAGGAATAAAGGGGGCATCCAGAGGGGGTGGTGAAATGGCTTGTTGGACACCTGACGAATGTGACCGTCTTTCTTTCTTGGGTGGGATTATGCTTACTGAAACTCCCTTCGAGGAAGGGGAAGGCATCCCATCTCATGTTGCACTGCCCAGAATTCATGTTTGAGAACTCCTTGAGATCACCTTGATTCCTCAGTTCTTGCACGTGCCTTTAGGTGAAGTTTGTATGGAATGGAGCAAGGAACATTGAGTTAGGCCCTATGATACTGCGGTCAAACAGATTTTGCTTCATCCTTTAAAAATCTGTTGTAGATAGGACTTTCATTCAGTGTTATGGAAATAATTGTTTTTTCTTCCAGTGTATTAGTATGTAAACTAATCTCCACTTTCTAAAATAACTGTGTGGCAAAAACCACTGAGGCTGTATGCCTCCCTGTTTTTGCCTGTGAATAAGTGAAGTGTGAATTGGGGTTGGGATGACAACAAACTGAGGACAGTATAACTGCCCCATTGTTGTGTCCATATGAGCAAAATAAAATCACATGAAATACTTACATTAATATTTCATCCACTGTTTATCTGATGAATACATGATCATTTTTTTTCTTGGCAGAAGTTGAAAGTTGGTTTGAAAGTGGTGGTGATGGAAAGTGCCATCAAGTCACAGCTGACTTATGGTGACCCCATAGGGTTCTCAAGGCAAGAGACATTCAGAAGTGGTTTGCCATGGCCTGGCCTCCTTTGCGCCCCTGGTATTCCTTGGAGGTCTCCTATCCAAATACTAGTCCAAATACTAGTCAGGGTTGACCCTGCCTAGTTTCCACATTCTGACAAGATTGAGCTGTCTAGGTCAGGGCCATTTAAAAGTATCCCCACTCTTTCTCAGTTTCTTGTAAGACCTGCAGGATGGCACTGTAGCTACATTTTAAAAGCTATTGCCTTGAACACTTAAATAAAGTAGTAATAATTTATGGTGGGCAGAATTAGAGCTGAAAGGATCTTGTTTACTTTTCAGTATGCTTAAGAGGGTGTTCTAACTAAACCATAAAGTAACTTCATATTTTCCAGTATCCATGTTGTGACTAGGAATAATTTTATTGATTGAGAGGTGGCAAGATAGTTTTTGGACGGTAGGCAGTGAGAGCATAAGAATTGACTTGAGAGATCTGGATTGAAAGCCTGTTGAGCCACAAAGTTAACTTGGGGAGTGGCTCATGGTTACCGTCTTTCAGCCTAATGTATATCACAGGTTAAATGGGATAAGTCCAGTCTATTCTACCCTGAGTTTCTTGTCAAAGGGCAAGACAGAAATGCAAAAACACCAGCTCTCTTATCTAGTTTGCTTTTTGTATGCCAAGTACTGACATAACATTAAAAAATTGGGCCTCCCTTCAGTTGGGGCAATATTTTATGTTTTTAATTTTTTTGGTATTGTATGGAAATAGATAATTATTTTCTAGGAGGGCTACATCAGTTTAATACTATTATTGCAATAAAAAGTGGTGAATACTAGTTTTTCCATTTTTGTTCTATCATATACTTTAAATGGCATATCACATTATTCTAGTCTAGTTCAGTTAGCAATACTTAGAGTAACTACTGTATTTCAGTGTGGTCTCTAGATCAGAATTAGTTATCAGTCTCAGGGATTGGGTCCATTATATTCTCTATGCAGAGATCTGTGGAATAGAAATGTCTTTCTGTACAACTGAAGGCTTTGATGGGTGTGTATATTGCACTTTTTATTAAAGTTGTCCCTACTTGGCAGTAAGGGAGGACTTTGGAAAGAGATCCTCAAGTGGCAGATTTGTAATAGTTTTTTTTAAAAAAACTTTTCTGGAATACATGTATGACAGTAGCTCAATAAAATGTATATGAAATACTCATGAAGTCTTACTGCTTCTCTGAGTTGATCTAGAGATATATGGATTGGTCTGTGTGATATCTCCATCACCCAATTCATGAAATTAACCTCTGCTTACAAATCACATTGTGGATACCACTTCTGTCACACCTTGATTCAGATGTGGTAGGCCCAGTTTGTGAACATGGGCAGACACCAAATTGCTTCAGAGACTAGATTTTAGCCACTAGTTTCTGTCTCTTCTTCAGATAAAAGAGAGGGCAGTGCTGAAGAATTTATACAAGAGCTTGAGAACTAGCGTGATTATAGAAGCTTCTGGTTTGCTATTGTCATTATGGATTCTGAGGTATTATGTGTATGTGAAAACCTTAATTTATTATTTATTTATTTATTTATTTATTTATTCGGCTTATATACCGCCCTGACCCTGAAGGGTCTCTGGGCGGTTTACATACAGAGTCTAAGTCTACTTTCCCTGTCTACGGCCACATAGTACAGGGGCAGGGGCTGCCTACCGGCACCCAGGTGGTGGGGCTTGCTGTTCTCCAGCACGGCTCCTACTTCTTCCGGCGGTCTTCAGGGTCGGTGCTTTCGTCCTGGCGTCCAGGGATAGGTCTTCCTTTCTTCAGCGGGCCCATCTGGTGCACGGTTTGCGTTAGCGCGGCTCCGGTTAACGTCCATTTTGGCTCCGCCGCGCCTGCGCCTCCGCGTCACCGCGCCTTCCGCCTCTGCCGTCATCCGTTCCACCGCTCGATGTTGCACTTTGCTGGCCACCAGGGCTTGCCCCACCTTGTTTTAGCCCTCCTAGCTGTGCTGCAGCCACTGCTCCTCAGCACCTGAAATGGTCATCAAAGGAGAGTAAGTGGTGGCGGTGGCAGTAAGAGGTGCAGTGGGGCCTATAGCTGCTACAGCAATTGGAGACTTCTGTACGTACAGTGACAATTCTCAGCCTCCTATCTGATAACTAAGTTGGTGTCCAGATAATTTTGCTTCTAATGATGAGGGGGGAAATCCTCTTTGGTGTTCAGACAGTATGTGCTGCTTATTTTTTTTAGTGCTAAAAATGTAAAAGCTTAGCATTTGATCAGTTAATTTATTTAAAACCATAAGTCATCACATAATTGGCATTTGATCACTCACACTGGAAAAACATACATACCATAGGCTGTAGCTGTTCCTAATCACCAGTTGCTGAGTAAAACCTTCTGTGAGGTGGATTATTGCCATAATTTCAAGTCTGCTAAGCAGGCAAATATATTGGTATCAGAAGTTTAAGAATATAGTATGCATTGGGTTCTGTTAGCCATTAATGAGAATCAGAGGTCTGTAATATGTTGATTTTGAAAACCTGTGTGCAGCTTGGCTATATCTCAACCATGATAAAATCTCTGGGTAGGATCCCTCAGTCTGTTCATGCAAGGGCTGTGAACTTTTCCTATGTTCGCGGCTGTGCCCTGCAGTCCCTTTCAACCATAGGAGGCAGGGGCCATTTTGCCCCTTTCCTGTCCTCACTGCAGCCTCCTGAATTAGATGGCAATTGGTCTTGTGTGGCTGTTAATTGACTTTTGCTGGAAGGGTCCCTTAGGGGGAAGGGAATATAAGAAAGATGCTAAACTGTTGGCACCTTTTTGCTGATGGAACTATCTTGTCTATGCATTTTTACCTTGCCCTTATGTTCTTAGTGGTCCATCTGGTAATCCAACATCATGTCTCATACAGTGGCCAACCAGATACTCTGCAGGGCCAACATCAGCATATAAACCAAGGCCTGTCCTGTGATATTGGCTCCTGGCACTGGTATTCAGAAGTTTACTGCTTATGAATGTGGAGGTTCCCTTTAGTCACCATGGCTAGTAGCTAGCCACTGATAGAACTATCATCTGTGAATCTGTCAAATTCTTTTTTTTAAGTTCCTATGCCTGTGGCCATTACTACATCCTCTGGCAGCAAATTCCATATTCTAATCACACATTGGGTAAAAATGTATTTTCTTTTGTTCATTCAGATTTTACTACCATCAACTTCATTGGAACCCCCCCCCCCCCAAGTTATAGTCTTTTGAGGGAAGAAGAAAACATTCTCTCTGTCTACTCTCTCTACCCCATGCATAATTTTATAGACCTCTATTGTGTTCCTTGTAAGTCATCTTTGTTCTAAATTAAAAAGTTCCAGACCCTTTCCTCCTCATAGGAAAGGTGCTTCAACCCCTCAATTATCTTGTTTGCCCTCTTCTGTACTCTTTTCAGCTCTGCAATATTCTTTTTGATATATGGTGGCCAGATGCACACACAGTATTCCAAATGGGGCCACACTATAGATCTATACAGGAGTATAATAATATCGACCGTCTTATTTTCAGTCCCCTTCCTAATAATCCCCCTTTTCACTGTTGCAGCACATTAGGGAATTTTTATTAAGCTATCCAGTACTATGGCCCTGAGGTCACTTTCCTTCCCAGTCTCAGCAAGTTCAAACCCTATTAGCAAACGCATCGCCTTAACGTTACCCACATTGAACTTCATTTGTCACTTTGTTGTCCATTTATCTTTTTTCCAAGTAGCTTAGGGTGGTGTAAGCAGTTGTCCCACCCATATTTATTTTTTGAAAACTATTGTGAGAGTCAGTGAATGACCGGCCCAAGTTATCCCAATGAATATTGTAGCTGAGTGAAGATTTGTACTTGGGTCTTTGTGGTCTTAATCCAACAATTAAACAGCATTGGTTTTCATGCCTCTAACAGCCATAAACTTGGGGAAACAGTTGCACCATCACCTCCACCAGCAACACTGCTATGCCAATTAGACAGGTTTTATTATAGGTGTGAA